GCCTCTTTCCCCTTTTCGCCCTGCTATGTACTTGTATTCGATTATTCGCCTACAAATGAGCCTCTTTCCCTGAAAGTGCCTGGCTGGCAATTGTTCAGCCTCTTCCCCTGCTATGCACTTGACAAGCCAACCTCTTTCCCCTCCGCGCCCTGCTGTGTACTTGTATTGGGACATTCGCCGACGAATGACACTGCATGCACGCGGCCAACCATGCTGCACTGCCAAATCTACTTGCCGCGCCGCGCGTTCTTGCTGTGGCACTTCCTTGGGCCCGGCCCCTCTCCCATCCGTTTTCCCAACACTGGGATCCGGGCCTCGCGGGAGCGTTACGTGAGACCCGGCGCTCCCTTTATAAAGAGTGTAGATATAGAAGAGCAGAAACAACCTGGCTGGAGAACCTGCAGACCGGAAACTGAGGAAAGATAGCCCTGTGCGATCCGGCCGGTTCTGTATCTGACTGGCTTGGACAGCCCCAAGGAGAGGTAAGATGTTGACTCTAATTTCATTTTCTTTTTTTTTTTTCCTCTAATTTTTCCCAGATAATGAGAAAGGCCACAATGTGAGTTTTGTGGAAGAAAAGATGCCAGGAAACAAAAAGACGACGAAGAAGAAGCAATGCTATGGTCCTCCCCATTTCATGTTCTAAAACTCAAATGTGAGATAATGCCATTCATGATTCATCATAATTCAGACAGAAGAAGGATGAGTTCAAAAGACAGGAGGCATGGCGGAAAGAAGAAGAAGAAGAAGAAGAAGAAGAAGAAGAAGAAGAAGAAGAAGAAGAAGAAGAAGAAGAAGAAGAAGAAGACGGCGACGACGACGACGAAGAAGAAGAAGAAGAAGAAGAAGAAGTTGGAACCAGTGCCTCCCATCACCATCACCATCACCTCCAGCTCTCTATTAATAAAAAATAACAACAATAATGAGTGCATGAACGATGACAAACGTTGGAATGATCCCTGATCCTGCCAGACTTGAAAAAGCTCTCCTTTTTAATTCACTCCTCTCTCCTCCACTCGGCATGGCTGCTAGCTATGGCGGTTCATCCTGAGCTATCTCGGATGTTCAAACGACAACACAACTACTCTCATGCCCTCTCCTCTCTACCACCGGCATGCCTGTCCTCCAGATGAGGTCCATGTCCGATCGGTTGGTCTGGTACGCCAACAGGGTCCAATCGGTTGGTCTGGTATGCCAACAGGGTCCAATCGGTTGGTCTGGTACGCCAACAAGGTCCAATCGGTTGGTCTGGTACACCAACAGGGTTCAATCAGTTGGTCTGGTACGCCAACAGGGGCTGTCTTGATGCAATGCCAACCTGGAAGATGAAGTTGTTAAGTCCAGCACAGCCAAAGGCAAGTCCCCTTGCCAGTTCCCACCTCTTTCCTCCTCCTTCAACCTCTCTTCACGTCAATAGTCCGGCTGGAGGGTCTTCTCCCGCTACCTCCATAGCCTAGGGTTTCTGCTACCTCTCCCGACTACTCCTCTATATCCATGGAGGTCTTCCTCCTCACCCTCAAGCTCCACCTTTACCTCCAAGCAGCAGCATGACTGCTTGGTGAGTGCAAGGACCACCCATTGCACCGAATGCTATCTTATTGCCTGCCCGCAGTGCCCAGGCCTCCAGTACCTCTTGGTCAGGCACTTCCTCCGCCTCTAGCCAGCCTCGCCTGAGTGCACTACCGCCTTCACCCAACTACAACAACACCTGGTCATTATATCCCCGTATCTGGACATGAAATTGCCCCAAATACAGCTATAGTGACCCAGCGTTGTATTCGCGTGAAGGCGGTAGGCCAACTGGATGCATGCTCCCCTCTTTTCGCACGAACATAATCACAGACTGATATCTTTCCCCAGGCCCTGAACCTAGACCTACACCAGTCTACATCCAGAACCCAGACCATCATTGCCTACTGGACATCTACGGAACCCTCTAGGCCTAGCTGACTTGCTCAAAAATCGCTACCAGGCCTCTGGCAAATTCTGCTATTCTACCCTCAATATGTCCCTACTGCCAACTTTCCATCCTGCCTCTGATCCCACCCATATCTCTATTTTGTCCCTGTTTGAGGCACAGCCACGCAGCACAGCCAACAGAGTTAGCACCCAGACTCAGACTTGGACTCATCAGCGGCAGATCACATACACACACAGTCGAAAAACTCAGTAAACAGATTCGGACTCAGAATTCTCACCAATCACAAAACACGAGGACAGCATTTTCTCAGAAAAGTGCACAGCTCTCAGACTGCAATTGCATGGGCAATTGCATATAGACCAAAAACAGACGGCCGGCAACGCAGTAAGCATGGACACTGAGACGCAAGCTCAGATTTCTGTGGAAAAGGCTGAGGAAGCTGAGGCTATCAGGCAGAACTTTCATTAGAATTACCTAGAAGAAGGGAGGGTAAGAAGAAAAAAAAAGCGAAAGCGAGGACAGCAATCATAAAAGGGAAAACACTCAGCTGCATGACTGGAGCCAACCGTATTCACTCACACCAACCGACTCAGTACACAGCAGGGAGGAGGAAACAAACATAAGCATGGGCAACGCATAAGAGAAAGAGAGGGAGGGAGGGAGGGAGGGAGGGAGCCGTGAGAGCAAAATGGATGAGCAAACTGTCCCATGGAACAGCTATGGGCAAACACAAAGAAACCAGGCTGCCAACGAGGGCCGCGAGGAGCATCAGAAGAGCAGGGAGACACTTGACTTTCCCTTCTTTATAGAGTTCTAGGGAGCAATAGAAACAGGGGTGTAGAAGGGGTAAAATCCTTCCTTCATAGGAAACAATCAATGTCCTTGTCTGAGGATCCAACAGAGGAGGAAAGCATGAGTATCTGTCTTTGGAAGCGATGCTGGACCCAGTTTCCAGCTACGAGACTTGATAAAATGATGACTTCCGTTAAAAAAGGTAAGGGAAAAAAAAAGGTGGCAGCTGCATCCACCCAGATGTTCTTTACCCCGCTGCCAGGTGCTATTTTCTAATGCCAAATCTCGAAACCCCATGCCTCGACTATCCGGACCTGCTTTCCCCCCACATCACTATGCTAGGATCCCTCCTAGCATTCTCCCATCACTCCCCCTTTCCCAGTCTTACCTCTCTCTCTCTCTCTCCACCTACCCCAACACTGACCCGTTTTAGACTCTATCCCACCCGCTCCCCTTTCTCCTCTTTATTTGCTTTCCTGCTCCTACCAAGTACCTCCTTCCCCTCCTTTCCCTCCCTCTCTTTTGCCCAAACAGACCAAGTCAAGTGCACTTCTCCCCATGTCGGTGCTCTGTTAAGGAGCCAAGAAGGAAAGCGTCAGGGGTGAAGCAGACATGATACCTTCAATCACAAGAATTGCACCATACTTTCGACAGAGAAAAGCTTGTATGAGCAAGCACAGACACCTCCTGTTTATGTCCTTTCGTGCTCCTGTGAAATACCTCCTCCCCCACCTTTCCCTCCCTCTCTTCGGACCATGCAGCCCAAGCCAAGCGTACTCCCCTACACGTTGGCGCTTTATTAATGAACCAAGAACGAGAGCGTCAAGCATGACATCATCCCTTATATAACAATGAATGCACCATACTTTCGACAGAGAGTAAAGACACCTAACCTACACTGCGCTGGTTATGGTCACAAAACGGGCCGGTTCCCCCTTAACTGGGAGGGGTGCATAAGTTCTGGACAGCAGAGATTAAAACAGAGGTTCGAGACTGGGTTAAAGAAAAAATCCCCCCTTAAAAAAGGGGTACCTGTCCGGTTCCCCCTTAAAAAAGAGGACAGTCAATCCCCTCTTAGGAGGGTGATGAATGCTGTTCCTCTTACGTCATTTTATCTCGGGTCATGTCGACTCGAAGAGTCACTGGACCCGGTTCTCGCCGGTGTTCCTCTTATTTCATCTCTGCTCTGATCTTGAGAGGGGACGCCGGACCCTATTTCCAGCAGGTGCAGCTCCCCTCCTAGAGATTGCAGCCATCACAATGGCTGGAGCCCATGTCGACTCGAAGAGTCACTGGACCCGGTGAGCCCATGTCGACTGAAAGAGTCACTGGACCCGGTTCTCGCCGGTGTTCCTCTTATTTCATCTCTGCTCTGATCTTGAGAGGGGACGCAGGACCCGATTTCCAGCAGGTGCAGCTCCCCTCCTAGAGATTGCAGCCATCACAATGGCTGGAGCCCATCGCCAGTGTTCCTCGTATTTCATTTCTGCTCTGATATTGAGAAGGGACGCCGTACCCAATTTCCAGCAGGTGCAGCTCCCCACCTAGAGATTGCAGCCATCACAATGGCTGGAGTCCACCTTTAGGGGATGCTGGTATCACCTCCAAAAGTCGGCATGCCAAATGATGGTTTCTTTAAAACAAAAACGAAAGTAAAAGAAGGATAACATTAGGCCGTCAAAAAAGTTATTTTCGTTTTTTCAAGTATGACGTTCTTCTTTCTTCTATTCATCTCTTCTTTCAGCTGTCCATTTATTTCACCTCTTCAGGTGCAAGGCTCGCCAAGTCGATGTAGTTGAGCACGAGCTGCCTACCCCCCCCACACCCCCAAACCCCGTGGGCCATAATTCTATTTACATAAATAATGCCACCATGCGTTTGACGCATCCATCCATCTCTCAGGCCTCGAAATTCTCAATCAGACTATGGCTAGGACAGTGACAACTGCTGTACACACATCTCATCAGTACTCTCACAAAAAAACTACTGGCATGCTTGGTGCCACGCCAACGTGCGCAAAGTCTGGCTGAGACAGGCAGCAGCACAATGACAATGCACAAGAACAGCAAGGCACGAAGAAGCCTGCGGATATATAGTAGAGGATAGGAATCCCTATACTTGAATTGTGTTTCTTGCAGGGCCTGCCCAACTTCTGACACACAAAGACGCGCGCACAGCAATGGCAGCTCCAGGTTCACAAAACTTTTAAGAATGAATCTAGTCAACAACTATATGCCGTATGCATGAATGATTACATCGGCCTTGCCAACGACATTCCTCTACCACCTCTGTGGGATGACTTCTCCACTCCTGCAAGAATTCCTACACTGGAGCACAAAGTCTGGACGTTAAGATCCCGTTCGACTTTCACGCCGCGCAGGTTCACACTCCTATCCAAAACCCAAAACACACAGGACACAGTCAGACCTCCGCTAGCTAAGAGAGAACAGGGCAGAGGACCTCACCCCAAACGAGATGCACGCATGCTTACCTGCCGTGTAGATGCACCCCAAACGAATGTCGTGTAGTTGCTTGCCACTCAAACCACTCAAAATCCTGTTGGACTTCCCTGCCGTGTGTAGTTGATCACCACTCAAAATCCTGTCGTGGACTTCCATGCCGTGTAGCTCCACCATCCTATCCAAAACACACACAACACAGTCAGACTTCCACTAGCTAAGAGAGAGAACAGGGCAGAGGACTTCAAAAAAACACTGGTCTTCGTGAAATGAGATGCTCGCATGCTTGCCACTGGTCTTCACGAGCTTAGCAGGGTGCAAGAAGCGAAATGGAAAATGAGCTGAGCCCAGCAGGCAAAAGGTTATAAATCTTGAAGGTGCTGAACCTTGGAGGCTCTAGGAGCTGGGCCTTGGAGACTGCAAGACAGTCCGGCGCGAGCATGAAGACGCGCACACGCTGTTGGTCACCTTGTCTTCTGCTACCGTAGTTTTTGGTGTCCCGCACCTCTGTCCCATCATTGGTTCAAAGATTGCAGGAGATCTGGACCCAGTCGTCATCCCAACTGACGACAGTGGCATGCTGACCCTTGCAGGCTCTAGCAGCTACGCCTTTGAGACTGCTGCAGACAGCCCGGCGCGAGCATGAAGACATGCACACGCTGTTGGTCACCTTGTCTTCTGCTACCGTAGTTTGGTGTCCCGCACCTCTGTCCCATCATCCTTGTTTCAAAGACTGCAGCAGATCTGGACTCAGTCGTCATCCCAACTGACGACAGTGGCATGCTGAACCTTGCAGGCTATAGGAGCTGGGCCTTTGAGACTGCAGACAGCCCGGCGCGAGCATGAAGACGCGCACACGCTGTTGGTCGCCTTGTCTTCTGCTACCGGTAGTTCGGTGTCCGGCTCTTCTGCCCCATCATCGTTTCAAAGATTGCAGGAGATCTGGGCGTCATCCCAACTCCCAGTGTCACCTTCATCTCGGTGTTCGTCACTCCCTGCCAATGCCTGTCTGATGGCAATTGCCTTTTCTCCAATACAAGATAGCTGCTGCCACGTTTATGTCCAAAAATCTCCTCCTGCTTTAGAGAGGCTGTCTCTGTCGAATGGATGTTTGCTGCGCGCTGTATGCCCCCGTGCCCATCTGCTCGAGCAGGCTACCTCGCTCACTTTGTGTTCACCTTGACTTCTCCTGCTAGTTGGGCATTCTGCTCCTCTGTCCCATCCCTTGTTTTGAAGAATTGCAGCAGATCTGGTGGCCCTGGCCTCAGTCATTCCAGCTGACAGTATCAGATTCACTCTCGTCATCATCACTGCCTGCCAAAGCTTGTCTGATGGCATTTGCCTTCTCAAAGATCGCTGCCACGTTTATGTCAATCTCCTGCTTCACAGGCGGTCTCTCTCGAACGGGTGTCTGCCGCAAGCTGTACGCCTGCGTGCGGATCTGCTCTAGCAGGCTATCCCGCTCACTTTGTGGCTTCGATGGCGTGGTGCTTGCTGCTGACGGCACTCGTCTCAGCATGCTCCGGTTATGTTGGACGATCTCCTCAAGTATAGCGTCCCGAGTTACAGCCACAGAATGCACTACAGCTTTCAGCTTCACGCCCGTCGCCGGGGGCAACCTCACAGCCCCACCAATTCCCACACGCGAACCCGCATTGAGTTTCTGCAAAAATGCTGAAGGAGGCGGTGGCAAGGGCATTTCAGGCAGAGGAGGAGGCGGCACCTCTGGTGGAGGGGGCGGCATTCGCATCGTCATTTCGAATTCTTCTCTTGCGTGTTGAGCTGCATCCGTCGTGATAACCTCCTCCTCCTCTTCCTCCTCCTCCTCCTGCTGCTGCTCCTCTGCCTCATTATCAACTCTTCTCTTGGCACCACCAGCTCCGCCATTCAGCGCAGAAGAGCAACTTTTGATCCCGTAAGGATGTGAGGATGACGAGTACGAATGGACAGAACACTTCTCCATCCTTCCATTCATTCCTCCATTAAGCTGCCGGTGTGTAGCCGAACGATCAATCTGAGAACATTCTCCAGCGGGTAGTGAAGACAACCTGCGTGTAGATGACGATTCAGAGTCCCCTGACATTGGACAGCTGTCGACCGGACCGTGATAGCTGGAAGCGTCTGATACAGCGTGGTGTCTTGTACCGAGCCTCGTGTAGCTGGACTGGTCCACAGCAGAATTCTCCGCGCTAGATCTGAGGTGCTTCCCTGCATGATTTCCATTCTCGGCCGTGCAATCACGGGATACCTCCTTTCCGCAAGCATAGACCGGTGGTTGCCTCGGGGGAGGAGGGGGGACAGCTGAGAAGCTGGGCGCAGTTAGAGTGCGCTGACCAGATATCAATCGAGTTCGATCTGATTGTGAGACCCCCCCTGAGACCCCCCCTGAGTGTGAACACTGACTGACTTCATCAGGTGATAATGGCATTGCGATCTCGGGTGTTTCAGACTGAACAAGTGGTGGAATGCCGGATCCGAAGGGAGATGGTGGTGATGGGGAGGCTCCTCCTGAGGTGGTGGCGAGGGTCGAGCTAGAGTGCTCAAATGGTAGAAGTGTATGGTGTTGTGGGCTTGTCAAGGTATCTTCAGGCTTGCTGCCAGAGACATCAACTGCAGCCAGAGAGGTCAGCTCCCCTCCATTATCTGCGGTGTGACTTCCATCAACGGATCGCGTGTTGCCAGCCGCTCGTCGCTCCCCATTACTCCTCTCAACACGTGAAGAACCCATAGAACCACCTTCTTCCATTGCCAGATTCCTGCTTGACATATTATGACATGTTGTTGTAATAGGACCAACTCCACCAGAGTCCAATTCCAAGGAATTATACGTCAACTCCCCTCTCTCACTCTCCTCCACTAATTGGTTTTGTCGCTCAAGACTTGACAAGCTGTCCTCTTTCCCATCAACCTTCTTCTCAACTGAATAAACAAAACTCCTTGCTCTGATTAGGGAGCGTCTTTTGCTGCCTGGTACCCTCACACTACTGTCCGCCACCTGCCCTCCTGATGAGCTCGTCATCACCCAGTCGCAAACGGATGTTTTTTTGGTGGATGGTGCATCTAAAGAAGAAGAGTGTGCACAGCGGCGGGTTTTTCCATTGCTCCCAAAATCCTCCTCCTCCACAACTTCTCCACCCCCTGGCTTTTCCTCAGCGCCATCCAGACTACCTGCATCATCGGCATCCTCCTTATCAGCAACGCTATCGCCTGTAGTAGTACCCATCACAGCAAGCGTTCTGTCCCCAACCAGCGGAGGACCATAAGCCACCACCACCTCTCCCTTCAAACTCTTCCCCTCCTCTTTAACGACAGCAGCGGCAGCCCTATCCTGCGCCGCCGCCAAATCTGCAACCCTGACCTCGCCGTTTTCTATCTCCTGCCTGCCTTTCTTGAAAACTTCCCTAGCAGGGCATCTATCTGCATCATTCTTAATGCACCCCCCCTTGGAAGATTCAGACGTAATCTCACTGCGGCTAGATAGATGGCTATCCGTGCCACCAGGTAATGACGAGGAACTGCGGCTAGATAGATGGCTATCCTGTGCACAATCGCCACTTGCTAGTGATGAGTCAGACATCCTTTGCAGCCCCCCTAGCTTTTCCGCAGCATCTGGATCTGGTCCTGGTTGCGGCGAAGTGTCATGCCTCCGTGGTTTCGGAACCTCTCCTGACTGGTTGCCGCTGAGATTCTCAGAATAGCTAACCTCCTCCTGACAGCGCACGTCTGCTGCCGCCGGCTTCGCGCTCATGGCCGCCTTTTCGTTGTCATCATTACCCTCCTCGTCGCTACATCGTTCGATCGCATCTAGGACGGCAAGAGCTGCAGCAGCGACAAACTGGCCGTCGGATCGATATTCGTTTCGTCGATCCAGTGGTGATCGTTTGCCGAGTGCATTTAGCTCTGAGCATTGCCCCGCCGCACCTCGAGGGAGCCGCCCAAAGTGTGTACCTGGGCGCGGATCTGACAAAGGTTCAAACACTAACGAGGGTTTTTCTGACCGGCCCCAAGACCAGGACTCCGACTTCGGCGATCCTCGGTATCTGGCGAGCAACTCTTTGCTTTCATCAAGGCCATCATTGGACTCCGCCTCCCATGATGACAAGTCGACCCCGCCTCTTGATCTTGCTGACCCTGACCCTGTCCTGGCATCCAACGGCTTCTCCACGAAGCTTGCAAGTCTGGCAGCAGATCGAATCCCTGAGTGGTTTTCCGGCCACCCTTCGGACCAACCCTCGGAACGCAACTCCCAGGGAATCTCTGTCTGCACCTCAGACTGTGTATCTGAGAGGCCATCCCTTGAGGACGCTGACCTGGAATCCAAGCGCTGCGGTAATGACCCACTTGCACTAACCTCCGACCTTCTACCCCACCGGTCCGATCTGTCAGACTTCAAGTCCTGACGTGACTCTGACAGCATCGTCTGATCGTCTAATCTCAGCTCGGACATGGCATCAATGCCGCTATTACAGTCTTCCCTTCGGATCCGTCGCTCTACAACCAGATGCTCGCCTTCGTCCAGATTCAGCAGGGAATGGCCCAGCAACCCCGGCTCTGTCAAACTGAGATTCACGCTGGACTGCAAAACCACCTGGTTCTCCTCTATCTCCTCCCAGACGCGTTCTCTCTCATCCTCCTTCTCCCATGTCTCCCCCTCCTCGGCTTCTTTCCAGGGATTCCCTTCCTCAGTCCTCACTGCCTGAGCTTCCCCCCCCTCTCCAGGGCCGTGTCGTGCCAGCCTACTCCGGCCTCCATTTGCTGTCGACGAAACGGCTGGCACGGGGGTGGGATGAGATCTAACGCGTGGAATGTCCACCAGTGGAGAGGGGTGAAAACGGCGTGCCGGAGAGGGGTGAAAACCCCTTGCTGGAGTAACATTTGGGCTCTGGAGACGGAGCGAGTGCTGCTTGGAGGGTTCCACTTCAAACGGTGTGAACATTGGCTGAAGGGCGGATGACATTGCATGTAAGGAGGAACGAGAGGGCGTGGTCGGCACCATAGGTGCTTCAAGAGCTTCTGGTCCCAGCAATGCATACCGCACCCTCCCGTTGGGTTTTGCAAATGAAGTGCCCCCCGCCGCCTTGCCTACCTTAGCCGCTCCTGGGGCCCGTTCTTTTCTCTTTTTCATCGACCTGCTCCGCTTTTCCCGCTCTGCCTTTGACAGTTCCCCCTTTGCCCATTCGGTTTTAAAGATCGATGGGTCGGAGTACCTCTTCATGCATGCGCCATCGCCGTGCTTGTCAAACCTGTCGAGAAGAAAGAACCGAGGAGGTCCGCGGCATTCTTCATAGGGTCGGCGAATGAAGGCAGGCAAGATACTCCTCGTGAAGTGGCTTTGCTCATTGCTGATGCTGGCATTCCAGTCAACACCAGGCTCGCGGGAGAAGCGAAGGGGGTTCGTCTCAGAAAGCAAAGAGTCTTCCACGTCAGGCAGCTTTTTCTCGACATGTTGCACCCTTTGAAGTAATGCCTGCCCACGCAAGGAAGTGGTGGCAGTCAACTCATATAGATCGTGAAACATCTCTGCCGCGTAATCCGATATCTCCCCAAGCTGACGGACGATTCCAAGTAGGGACATCATCGCGACGCCATCCAGCAGTTGTCCTGCGTCATCGTCGGCGTCCCTGAAAACCTCCGGACAGTCCGCCGACGGCTCGTTCTTGAGCTTGAACTTTGTGATCGGCATTCTCTCTCTCTCTCTCTCTCTCTCTCTCTCTCTCTCTCTCTCTCTCTCTCTCTCTCTCTCTCTCTCTCTCTCTCT